CGACAAGCCTGATATATGCATATATATGTATATACATATATATGTATATATATATATGTATATATGCTACATATATATTATATATAAACTGCATACATATATATATACATATATATATGTATTGATATATATATATGAGAATGAAGCAACTACTGTTCGATTTCAAGCAAGGAAATCCAGCGAAAATCCTTTTCCTTGAAAAGCTAGTCTCTCTATGCTTTCCATCGTCACATATTATCACTTGAAACGAACCTCGTACATTCAGAAAGAAATCCTCCTCCAATCATCCACGGCTCATCTTCGCGATCACTTTTCCACAAATGAGGTTGCTCGTCTGGAAAAAACAATTGGCATGTTACCTAGAACTATCCTGCAATCTACTAGATGATTTTAAAATCTTCATCCTAATCAAATGCTCCTCGCAAAAGAAAACCTCTTTACAAATAGACACCTATTTTCTATTGACTTGTAAGGCGTTTATAGCTTGAAAAGAAACACCCAACAAATTGAATGAGTACATGTTCCACAATGATGAAATATGGTTCGAAGTGAATAGATTTTGAATATAATATTAACATATTTCATCAACACCACCTTTTTCACGACCGGAAAAGAATCTCGAAGCTAACTATTGCGGACGTCCGCGTTCGACCTTCAAGCTTTTCAGAGGTCTCTTTCGCTGAACAGAGCCTTTCTTCCACAATTTTAATTATGTTCGGTAGATTGAATCTTAGAGATTTCAACATTGTGCTTGGTTTTTAGGGAGGCCTTCTTGATTTCCGTAGTCCTTTGTTGATTTTCTGTATTTCGCTATAGCGGTGAAAACAAAATAGTCCCACACTTGAGGTGTCTTGCTTGCCCGGCTATATCATGTGGACAGCTTCTCATTAAACTAGACTAATACTTATTCGATAGCACAATATAGGCAAACCGAAACTATTATTCACTTATCAGGTCTTCATAATGCGCTATAGAAGCGAGAAAAATATTACGTTTTTCTCGGTGTTTTCTTCGCATATAAGAGTTATTTGTGCAAAGAAAATGAATAAAGGTGTAGATGAAATTATGTACTTACCAGACCGATACAAAAATGTGGGTTCTTTTCAATTATGAGTGGAACAACTGAAAAACCGATCTCATTCGCTTAAGAGGGAATTTTCCATAGGAGTGTTGGTAACCGTTCAAAAGCTGAGACTTGAGGCCACAGCCCCACGTTGCCGATTATTGCATGACACCTTTTACAACGCTGTGGCATCCAGATCAAAAATCATGTTTCACACTCGCCTTTCGCCTTCATATTTCATCATGCGTATAATTCGCTGGAAGCCTAAAAGCATATCAGTGTGTACAGAAAATTTCCCTAGTTATCTTAGTCAATCGTTTTATCTAGAGTTTCTTCCGAAGCGGAGGAAAATAATCCCAATTAAATAACATTATTTCGATCGTCTCTCGCCTCGCCCGCCCCCTCCAATCCTCTTCCACGTCCGTCGATTTGTCGATTAGTCGGTAAGCAACATTACCAAAAATGTAATACTCGATGTTATTTTCCTTGTTTTAGATCGTATTTCCAGAAAACAAACACATCGCTAGAATCAGAAAACATTGCTCTATCAGATGATCACTAATAGTCTAAAGAAAGAACTCTGTCCGGCGAGTGTAATTCACAAATCGCGGACCAGAGGAGATCAAAGGAGCAAAGAGCTTTTTGGGAGTGAAACACACTTTTTAGGTTTTTGAATCTTGTGCTATTGTTTGAATCCTAGCACTTCATGTAAAGAGTTTTGTCCAGCGAAAATAGAGAGATAAAAGAAAAAAACACGTGGTTCAATGAATATGATTTTAAATTGTTACATCATTAAAAGGTTGAAAAATGTTACATCGTTATAAAGGTTTGAAAAACCGCCGATGTGGGGCTATAGCCTCAAGTCTCAGCTTCTGAATGATTACTAACATCCTATGAATTTCCCCTCCAGCGGATAAGATCGGTTTTTCATTTGTCCCTCATAACTGAATCATACCAAAATCTGAAGTTCTTTTGCCGAAACGAGAAAAAATCTTTATTAAATAACAAAATCGATCAATGAACTACTGTGCGCAAAGCGTTGATACTACATTCCTTGCCTTTGCTTAGAGGTGATCTCGGCAGTTCTCAACCAAATTTAGACATATTTCTACCCACTTTTAACGTGTTCTAGCAATTTGAAGCAGCATTGCTAGTATTAAGTAACTCAACCGCATTCGTCCTGCTTGAATACTTCACATCCACTCAGAGCCATATAAACGTTTTCCGAAAAAAAGAACTACGAGTATAGCTCACAAATCTTAGCGACAACAACAAGATAAAATGCTCAGTACTTTGATGAAATGGAATTCTAGATTAGATGTTTTATCTGTTGGAGTGATAGAGGTGTTCGGCCGACCGGGCTGTAGACAACCTAATCTTTCCAGAGTCTAAGGGGGGCGAAAACGCTGAAATGTCAGCTGTTGAAATAAATACAAGACAGCAGATCGTGTTTTGGCTTATCAAGGAAAAAACAACTAATTAAACAATGCTATGGTTAGTATACAATCGATCTTGGTAAAGATAATTCTTCAACAGACATCAAATCTCAGTCGTAACCAATCAGTATCACAGGATAGCGACTTTAACTTCAAGCTTTTTATGTCACTAACCAGGTCTGACCGTAACAAATCCTTGTTTCATCCATCGCGCCAGACCAAGAAGTACAGAACAGCTGCCGTGGGCATCCCAAATGTACGGATTAGCTCGGAAACCAAAGGCTGTAATTTGCACCGAACCGTACAAGTCATATATTCCTAGTGGTAAATTATTGAACACTCAACACACGCGAGCACTAACTCCAGTAACGACGGTGAGCCTATTAACCTTATTACTGGGATAAGGTACTATTTTGTCATCGCCATTCATTTTACAGCCCTTCGAAAACAAGATTTCATCGCTCTCCCTCCAAACTTTCAGCAATCATTCGTTAGCTCAAATCTCGACAATTTTAATGATGCCTCGCTTTCTAAAAGACCTTCTCATTGCGCTGAGACAACGAACATAAGAATGAGTTTCACACTCGGCTAGGGTGTGAATGGCAGGGTGAACGGAATCCCAGAACATTCTTAACAAACGGCATCGAGACGGTTAGAATTTGTGAATGAACTTTTGACGAGAGACTACCAGATAGTTCAAAAACAGATGATTCTGTAGCTATGTCTGATCTCTGAAATGATGTCCCTGGAGCGCTGAAGAGCTAAAAGAAGATTACGCTCCGCACTCCTTTGCTTAGGCTGCTTAAGTGTATTAGCAATACAAGACGAGAAGAAGCCTAAGCACATGGGGAACGATAGAACAAAATTTCTTTTACAACTCCAACACAAAAAGTCTGGGCACGGAGAAGATATGCTCAAATAAATGACGAAAATACGCGCGATAATGCGCGCCGTCTTAGACGCAATTTCATTCTCACTACTGCCGCAATAGAAAAGCCTTTTCAGAAAAAGAGCACAGCAGTGGAATCGCCGAGATTTAGGCTATCGAATGGTCACTAAAGACTGCAGACAAAGTGGAAAAAGGCCTTTCCTAAAGGATTGAGAGATGGATTGCCGAAACAGATTAGCACCCGTAACGATGGCCAACTCACCTTGTTAGGGCAATCAACAACACTCTTGAAAAAGTCGTTAATAACATGAATACTCGCATCTAAGTCATCAAATTTCCGCAACCACTCATCTTGTGCGATGTCAATCACTCTAAAGATTGAAGGCTTGAATTGAATCGATTTACAGGCTGATTCGAGGCAAAAAGTAGGAAAATTTGTATCACCCTTCTATTAGCTTCGTTTCATTCATCATCAACGCATTCTCATACAACCAAAGAAATTGCTCCAACAGTTCACATGCTCGACGACCGCACTCGAACGGAAGATAGAACATATCGACCAACATGGATATCTGATCACTATCTGCCACGTAAGTCCTAAAGATATCGAGATGAAAACTAGAGAAAATCATAGTTGTTCGAAGAAATATCGAGTAGTAGGAAAAGCTTTGAAGCTCGAGCCGGATTTGACCTCACGTCTCATCTTTTGTCGGCGCCGCGTATCAACTACTACACTATCAGGGATCGCGCTTTGCTACCACTTCTCCTGTGATACAAGTTATCGATTCTGCCAGCAACCAAAACAGGACCGTGACAAATTGATACGTTGCATCGGAGAAAAAGTGATAGCAGAACAGGACCGCGAGAGCGTAGTGATTAGCAGGCGCACCGAGAAGCGTGAGGCACGAGTGCAACTCCCACCTAATTGAAATTTTGCAAATCATTCAACATTCTCGGATACAATTACAACACTATACCCTTGCTACGAAAGTAGTAAAATAAAAGGGATTCTGTGAGACTCTTTTCTCCGAAAACTTTCATAAATTAGCAATAAACCGTGATAAGTACTTACAGATCTAAATCAGTCATTACGCAGTCCAAAGAATCTATATTGTTGTCGACAACGTCCGCCAATTCTTCTTCCTAAACATTACTCACTTCAGTAAAAACAACAAACCAGTATTATTCAAAGACTTACTGGTTTTTTTACCTCTTAGATTCAAAATACTCATCTGTAAATTTCAAATTGCGCAAAAAACTAACGACAAACCTTCTTTAAAGTAGCCAAAGACGTCTCCATTGGTTCACCGTAATCAGCCGTTAAGGAATTTACTGTGATATCGTCATCAATTGGCTAAATTATAAAGAGCTCTCGACAATATTTCTTTACCTAACGCTTTTTACTCAGCGACAAGATGTTATAATTAGAATTGCAAGAATGCTGAGTGATATGTAAAACTCTGAACGCCGGACGGGTTGGACCCATGTTTCGCTCTTGCAGAGGTTCGTAGTGATCCACTACCGAGACCATTGTTCTGCTCATCACTCTTTCCGCGATACAGAATATCGACTCTGTCAGCGACCAATCGTCACGGTGCGTGGTGAAGAACAGGAACCGCGGTAGTGCAGTGGTCAGCACACGTGTCCGGAAAGGGTAGAACGCGGGTTCAACTACCGCTCCTGGTTCAGAGTTTTGCATATTTCTCAACATTTTTGCATACGAAGAGTTCTATCTAATAGTGAATGAAACAGAATTGAGTTAAACATAACCGTACCGATGGTAAAACAACCGATTTCAGGACTTCTTCCAGCTGCACAGACGAAACATGAGCTAGGCTCGCTGTAAATAAAAGATGACTAAATGCAAAGAAGTTAAGTTTCCCGAAAGCATTGACCACAAACTTGGGTAGACTAACGTTCATTGATTGTCGTCAAAGAGCAACTGTTTTCCAAACTTCCAATTTGCTTTCAGGCTGTGAAGACCTAAGTAACAGATTTCCCGTAACATGTGAGTCTCAAGTAAACCAATATCCAGATAATAACTAATGCTCAGTAAAAAGAAACAGCAAAATTGGCTCACGGTGGGATAGCTCGATTACTGACACAGTTGAATTCGTCAGCCCAAGATAAAATGGCTTTTCTTAGAGAAACCAAAGGGCGATAGGTTCGTAACAACTGAGGTGAATCGACTATCTCTGATCCTCCATTGACATCATCAGTAGTCGTGTAATCTGGAATCATGAAATCGCTAGCTGCACTTAATTCCATTCGAATCAGATTCTAACACTTTAAAGGAATTTATGACTGACTAGACTGTTAAGAGGGACGAGACAGACAATTAGTAAGTGAAAAGTGGTTAAAGTACCGAATATCCAAGAATATCACTTGACATGCAAGACTTCGGCCCTCGGGTGGGAGTTCAACCAGCGTCTCACCCTTTCCGGGGCGTACGTTAACCACGCAATGCCGGAGCTCTTGTTCTACTATCACGCTTTCTGCGATATAAGGTGATGAAGAACAAATCAGATAACATCTGAACATCTTCAGCCAACTACCAAACGAGAGTGAACAAAATACCCATCGTGAAAACTTCAACCCCAGGCGGGAGTTGAATTCTCGACTCACTCTCCCTAGGGGTGTGCCTGGCCACTGCTTACCGGAGCTACTGTTTTGCTATCACTCTTTCTGCGATGTGATACATCGAGGCTGTTAGCAGTCCATTTTATAATTCTTTTTGATCCTTCTCCAGATTTCAGGACAGTCAACCGAATAAAATGGCGCTTTAACAAAGAAACTCCGACACCGGAGAAGCCGCTAGAGTTACAAAGTGATACAAAAGTTTTAACTATGAAATGGACTACACCGTGGACCACATATCGTGTTAGACTTAGGAAACGATAACTCTAAGAAAATGGAGGCTTTATAGGTGATCCCACGAGTCACTCGACGATGAACGGGATGGAGATGATTCAGGTAAACTCTAAGATAGAACTTCCTCAAAGATTGAAACAGACTTTCCTAGATGTCCAATACCAAGGATACAATTTTGGAATTGTTAAAAAACTAATAATTGCTCCAGGAAATTTACTACAAAAGATATACATCGGTCATAGGTTTTTATTAGAGAAAATAATAGTGATAATCGACATATTTTGGGAAACACACCTACGAAAAATGACACAAAGAACTGGGGAAAAAACTCACCAGGAAATGGAGCATCCTCAGAACTTGCGTTCCAATCAGCAAAAGTTCGTATTGGTACGAAATTCAACTCGTATTTACAATTTGGATTCATTAGTAAACCAGAGATCTCCTTCTTAAGTGCCACAGGTCGCCCTAAAGACAAGCACTAATCGAAAACAAAACACAGAGCGATAGCAATCAAGTAATAGGGTGAACTTCTAGTACAAATAGGTGGAATCTAGGATAAGCTATAAATCAGACGTACCTGAGAAATCTCCCATAAAAACCCGTTTCTGGTCGTAATCGTTGGCGTGGAGATTATCCCAAATAAGTGGTTTCCGCCCGATAACTCGAGCGACGTTCCGGATATGCGCGACAGTGATATTGCGAGATATAACACGAGGGCCTGAAGATTTCCTGGACATTAGCCCTTAGACAAAGAAGATCTGATGAAGATATAAGTGAGCTGTCCTAGTAAATATTTTCGATTTATTGATACTAAACGGTGCACGCACCTGTCCATAACACTCGGATGTTCTCGTTTAGCTCCTTCCCTAACTGAAGAAGATATTCCGAGTCAACAAGTGTGGGAACAGCACGACTTTCACAATATTCTATAGATGTACATGTAGCGCAAGATAGATAAAACATAGAGCATTTGATAGATGAATTTCAATAAATCGGCCTACCTGTTGGACAGAAAAAGAATAGAGGTCGCCCCAGATACTCGTAAACTTCATTCGCAACAGAAATCTAAAGATGGACACCTCTGTTTCTACAAGGATAAATGGTTAAATCTCTACAAAATCCCGTTTAAATAGCATTTATGAACATATTTAAAAATAATTCCTTCTTATTAGTGACTTCAAAACTCGCACGAACGATTGTCGATTATCTTTGGCGATAAACAAAGAATTGTGCATTTCTTGTCGAGTGGATACGAGGCGAGGTTATTAAGGCTACGATTTCTACGATTTTTATTATAAAGGATAAATCTCCTGGAGTTTATTAGTCCCTGAAGGATGCGCCATACATTTGAATCCATTCGTAGCATCGTTAGAGGTAAGTGAACGCATCTATGACTACTTAATGACTCGCGAGCGCCTACCGATGTATCAAGTTAGCGCTGCTATCCTCCTAGACAAGTCTAGTAGCACCGACTCCGCTGGCATGGAAGATTTGGTGAACCATGAGCGCGGGATCGAACCATCGACTACGCAGATGTCGCAGGGCACCTCACCACATGCGCTCTTTTGAGTAAAACGTAGTCAATTTGTATCTTCTAGGCTCTTACGAAGGCGAAACCGCCAAAATGTCAACCACTACTATCGTCTGCACCGTGCTGAGATGAAGAGCTCGTCTCGTTTCGCGCTCAGCAATAAATATACGGATTTCCAAAGTTAATCGATAGTCGATCCTGGGGATTTGGATATGTACTGATAAAAACAAAATTTTTTCCGTCCCACGAATTCAAGCGGGATTTCCCGTGTCAATAAGAAAAATATGGAATTGCCTTCAAATCAAAAAACAAAGTCCAAAGGAGTGGAAAGGCTGAACGAACCTGAGCAGCAACAAATGACTTGAAGCACTGGCGATCGATCTCGTTCATCTCACATTCGATATCATCGAAGAGGAGAGCAAACGACTCGCATCCGAGCATACGAACCTGTGAAAGGAGGGAGATAGAAGATAAGTGAGATAAAAGAGAAATAAGAAAAAAGATAGAGATAGTAGAGGATAGAGGAGAGAAGGAAAATCGACCACTTACCTGATCGAACTTGCTTTTGACGCAGATCATATCCTCGACATTTGAATAGCCAATGTCGATCCCAGGCGAAAGCGAATAAACAAATGTGATTTGATTTGCTTTTGCAGACTCGATCAGACTCCGAAGGATATCTGCATGGATATGAAAGCTTCAAAAAAGGGGAGAAACTAAAGGTAAAATTTGTCAGCAAATAAATTTCCCACGGTTACCGAAACACAGAAATCATTGGGGATTCCTGTCTAATCCGCTAAAACATTAGTATATTCTACAAAACAATTCACCCTACATAAGGATGGCATTCTCAGCTAACGTTTCAAAGTCTCTGCCTTCTTCAGAACCAACTGATCTGAAGCAATGGTCTGCAGCCAATTGCTGGACCATCAGCTCAGTCCCCTTGGGCTCTGCTGAAGCCGAAGACGTCAAGATGTCCGACGAATGAATCCTGTTCCACACCTCGTGGTTAAGAAATCTTTGACCCTTTCGGAACGGCTGCTGATCGATTTCCGTAAGCAGATCGCGATTTTCGTAATTTGATTAGAGTTTTCTTTTCTCCATTTTAGAAAAGAAAAAGCTTTTCCGTGTTAATCTGATACTTCGTGATTTTCCCTAACTGATCATATGCTTTTCGTGCATATAGAACTCTTTTGTACGATGAGTACTCCGGGTGCGAAACGTAACCCTCTTTTCGCTCTTACAGCGTGTTATGGGAACTTTTTTGAAAACCAGTTTCAGCTTCAACAATGTCGAGAGTTGAACCATCAGATAACTATCAAAGACCTCGCGAAGAGCCATCCATGGACCAGAGTCTAACAAACAAGCAAACCGAGAGTGAAATATGATATTATTTTCGCCGCTTCAACGCAATAACAAAGGTTTTTTGAAAACCAAAGACAATATTGGAATCGTCGAGATTTAAGCTTTCAAACAGTCCTTGGAATCTAAGAAAAACCTTCTTTACCAAAAAAAAATTTCGAAAATTCGAAAAGAATTCGAAGAAATCTTAAAGCACGTTGGATTGATACTACCAATCCAACTATGAACAGCAGGAAGGAATGCCTCGTTATCAGACGTGATTTGAGTCACTATGCAAGACTGTTGTTTTGATGGGTTAGGTGCATTACAAGCCTATGTGATCCCCTTTCGGTGGTGTCCACTTGAATCAGTTAGTGGAACACATATAAAAAGCAATGAGTATGCTGAGAGTTGATTTTTGTACTTGATGCGATTGAAATCTAGGTCTGGTGAGTTTTTCTAAAGGATTAATGGAGGTGTTTGATTGATTGGATTGCGGACATTTTGACCTTTCCAGGCTCTGAAGAAGGCGAAGTGCCGAAACGTCAACTGTTTGAATAAAGATTGATGTACCACGTCGTGTTTGGCTCAAAGAAGAAAATCAGGAATTGTATTGAAGCATGCAGAGGTTAATAGACAGTCGGTCTTGGGAAAAAGAAAAGCTTCTAAATTATCGTGCACTTTCTTGAATACACGCCGTCTCGAAAGACTCAGCCTCTTTGGGAACAGCGTGGATAGGCAAGCGGTGTCGAGTCGTCGCCTTCCCACGAGATGCGACTTTCTTATGAGACGCCAGCGACTACGAAAGGCAAAATGACTCTCATGGTCCTTACACTGATAGTTCAGGCCGAACTTGACCCTTATGGGGCCTCGGACATACGGCCTCTGCGTCTCTGACCATCAAGGTTCAGCAATGGACAAGACGCCACTGGACGCCACTGTTAG